CCAGCCCTATTTGAAAGCATAAAGTTAATTATTAATCTAGAAATTTATAAAGCTTAGTAGTTTTTCTACAAGTAGAGGCAGAAAATGAAAAAAGGAAGATTTGTAAGATTGACTAATGTAATATATGGAGAAAGGAAAGCATGATAAGGGATCCTATAAAGGAGTAAAAGAAAATTAATGCCAGCAAACTCTCTGGAGAATATGAAAGAAAAAAAATGAGCAAAAACAAAATATAAAAGGAAGAAAAAAGAAGAGAAAAAGGTAACTGGTAAAAGAAAAGAAAGTGAGAAAAATACCCTAGCCCCCCCCCAAAAAAAAAATTAAAGAATATAGCACTGAAACAAGGTAAAATGAGTCAAAGAAAACATTATTGTTAGTGAGTGAGAGGTCCCTTTCCATGCCCTTGCTTTGAGTTTCTACGCCTTGCTCTGGGGCCGGGGTCTGTGAGGAGCTCCCTTGCTCTGAGGCCCCTCTGTCTGTTCTTCCCCAGACTGTCGTTAGGCTTCAGGCCCAGGCAGTTCCTTCGCCTGCTGCTAGGTGGGGCCCGCGATCGGTCCTCATCGCTCTGCTGGCTGTAGTCTGCCAGGTGGGAGTTCATGGGCCTGTTGGACTTATTCTCTACAGCTTCAGCTTTAGTTTTCCCTTCTCATCCCAGGTGTTGTCTTCAGCCGGCACCTGGTCCACTGATGTGCTGCCCCATGTTGACATCTTTTGGGGGCAGTTCGCAGCTGCTCCATCACAGAATGGCTCTCATGTTGGGGAGGTGCTCCTCCACCTGCAGGAGTCATGCAGTCATGGTTTACAAGGGAAGAGATGTAACACAGGACATAAAGAAGCTGTGACGGCTGGATCCCATGGCATTGTCCTGCCTGAGTCCAGCTGAAGACCTAGAGCCTATGACAATGACCCCACATGTCCACCAAGAGCCTACGACCACAGCAATGTCTCACGCACATCTGTATCAAGGAGCTTCACTTGGAAGACCCAGAGGGCAATGGTCGAATCTAGAAAGTCTGTGCAGAGGGATGAGGCTTGGTGCCAACAGGCTGAGGGATCTGCACTGCAGCAGGAAGGGATGTGAGCAGGTGAGGTCCAGAGCTGCTCTGAGAAGAAGCTCAGCGATCCTCAGGACCGGGGAGGACCCGAGCTGCTCTGATGCAGTGTGGGCCCTCTGTACCCAGAACCATGCTGACTCCGTTCAGCTGGGTGTTTCAAGTGGACCACTAGTTAATCCATCACAATGCTTTCTCGCGTTAGGGGGTTGAGGAGACGCTTTGTGTCAGTTCTCTCTCATCAACATGGTTACGCTGACTAAGTGTTTCAAACAATAAAAAACTACGAGCTGAATGGATATAGCTTCCTCACATCAAGAAAATGCAAACTACCCACAAGAGACACAAAGCAAATGGGCTGATGAGGACAGGAAGAGAGGAAGTGACTCCTAGGAGTCACAGAGAAAGTTTCAGATGCTCTGTGTGTTCTGTATCACCATTAGGGTGATGGTTTCAAAGTTTATCAGACAAATCTGCCTCAAAGTCTCCACATGCTGTTCTGACTGTAAAGTAAGCCCAAATCAGGAAAAAAATTGATAGCTCCAACCCTTTTATTCCTGCTTTACCTGTCATTACAGAATAGCCAGCAAGCAAGAGAACTGTGAGGATCATCTTTAGTGTGACACTGGCCATCACCATGGTTACTATCAACTAGGGCTAGTTCAAGTTAGGTCATTCTAGTTAGGCCTTACTGTTGGACAAACACAATATGTCAATATACAGAATACTGTACTTTTGTATAAGTTCATTGGCTAAAGATGAATCATTAATCACGTGTGGGAATCGGAAAGCGACAACCTGCTATGGACCCACCACGACTACCCCAGAAGTTATACCTTGCAACAAACATTCATATCTCTTAAGGCAAATCACCATGAAATTTTCTCAAAAGTCTCAGGACTACCTAATTAAATGGAAATGAGGATAGATGAAAGGAAAGGAAAGAAAAACATCCAAAACACACAGCTCTTTATTTAAAACCCAGCATGCCATCTTTAGTGCAAGTGTCTCCTTAAATAGAAAAGACCCCTCAGCACCATGCCCACCACATGCAAAGTGTCAAGGTACACAGGTTTCTTTAAAAGTGAAGATGTCACCTGTGCCTTAGATCAAAGTTTTACTAGTTTTCAGCTTTTTTTTTTAATTTTTTTAAATGTATTTAGTACAGGTCTACAAAGTCTCATTACTCAGTTCCGACTCACAGTGATCCTCCTGCTTTCAGCCTCCCAAGTGCTGGCATTACAAGCGCGCACCACCACACCTAGTCTCAATCAATGTCTCAGTGGGCCCCAGGGGCAGGGCCAGCATGGCACTTGGGGGACCGAACCCCGGCCCCTGTGCTGCCTAAGCAGGCACTTTAATCTGCTGAGCTACCTGGCCTGCCCAAGTTTTCAGTTTCTAAGTAGCGCACTGAAACTGGCCAAATGGTGAGTGCCTGTGATCCCAGCACTCCAGGCAGCTGAGGCAGGATCATCTCAAAGTCGTCACCAACCTGAGCAATTCTGTGACTTTGGCAGAACCTTCATGTGGATCTGAAAAAAATAAAGTCTGAGGATATAGCTGTAATTCACTGTGAAATCAGGAAACAAAGGAATCCAAAGGAAGAGACTAATAGATGTTTGATGGATAACAAGATTTCTAGACACTGAAATAAAAATCAGAAAATGAGTAAGTAGGCAGGGGTTTATTTGGTATGAAGAAAAAGATGCGCCATGGGTGAGGGGGACTGGAAGAGGGTCTCCAGTCAGGGAGCCCTAAGACATGACCTCACTTCCTTGGCAATCTGTCCAAACAGAACTTGGAACCTGGTGAGGGCGTCATAATGCAGTAACAGCCTCTCCCAGCTCACTTGGCTGGGGATGGTGGGCAGCAATTACACTGAACTGCTTCCCTACTTTGTGAAACCACAGCCTCAAGACCCCAGGCAGTAAAAGTCCCTGTGAAAGACTGAGGAGA